CGATTTTGCTGAAACAAATTTAAAAAAATTAAAAATTACAATTCCTTTATATTATTATATTATTATTATATATATTATATATTATTATGTCTCATTTTGTTCATAGGTTATGTGACTTTACGTGACATTTTTTTCCGTTTTGGATTTTTTATGAATTAAAAAAAAAAATTTAAATTTTAGGCAAAAATAATTTTTTTTTTTTAAATTAAAATTATTTTTTTTAATTCATAAAAAATGCAAAACGGAAAAAAGTGTCACGTAAAGTCACATAACCTATGAACAAAATGAGACATACATCATGAAATTTAATATTTTAGGCAAAAAATATTTTTTTTCTTCATACATTTATTTTTACCGGCACAACTGTTGATTATATAGAAAAACGTTATATGACAAAAAGTGGTAATTTTCGGCGCGAATGCCTTCTATTTCTTCACAGAGCCTAATTTCATACTTAAAAAAAAAATCTTAATAATTGTGGTGGGGACTACTTTTGATAAAACTGTCAAGTTGGCTGAACAAAATGCCACTTAAGTTCGTTATTTCTTGCACTAAATACAAAAATTAAGTATGATTGGAAAGGTAATGAACCAATCTATTCACCTGCTTTACCATTATACAAAACGTCCTTTGAAATTGCGGTGACTTTTAATTTTTTAAATTAAGATCTATATTCCCAATTTATTTTGAGTAGGCCAGCACTAAAAGATTTAATTTCCTATATGGAGTTCAGAAGCTACTAATTTTTAAAGTTACTTCAAAAAGCGAAAATTAAAAACTTGTCTCGGTCGAGCTCAAATGAAAATAAATGCAGTTCTAAAAAGTCGTTTTTAGCTCATTTTTGATCATGTATTTGTTCTTATGCCGATTTCATTTCTACCGTCTCTTTTCTCTCTACGCACAAATACTAAGGCTAAAAACATAGTGGAGCGGCGAGCAAAGAGCATCAAGCAAAGCGTCGATTTCAAACGCATATGTTTCAATGCCAGAAAGAAGAGGGCGATGAGAACGCAACCGTTTTTTGTAAAAACGAAAGCGCCAATGTCTGATTAGCACAAATCGGGGGTAGAAGCTCTGGTTAAATACAACGTTTGCTTTAACGATCACATGTTATATACATGTTGTCGAAAACTTCGATAATTATGTACAGGCATGGGCAGAGAGTTAGCAGGTGCTAAAAGAGCGTAAGCGTCGCGTGTACGTATACAAGCGAGAGCGCAGCGATGAGAACGCGACAGCATGCAAAATGAATTAGGCACACTAACACATTCTCACNAGTAGAAGCTCTGGTTAAATACAACGTTTGCTTTAACGATCACATGTTATATACATGTTGTCGAAAACTTCGATAATTATGTATAACCGGGAAGTAATGATAACCGGACATTGAGCAACCGGCCTNCCTCACGCTTGTTTGTGGTAGTGCCCACATCTGATTATGTATAACCGGGAAGTAATGATAACCGGACATTGAGCAACCGGCCTTTAGACTTTGTCATACTCAACACTCAGAGAAGGAATCAAGTTTTTCGTACTCGATCTTAGGGTTTCCGAACTTAAAATCGGACTAAAATTGCAAATAATAAAATAGAGAGAACACAAATCTTATACTTTAGTTTGTTCTTATTTTTAAGCCGACATTTTTCCCCCAGTGAATAACTACAAAATTTGAGGGATCTCCAAAAATATTAAGTTTACATTACTTTTACATTGGCCTCAAATGCGTGATTAGAAAGCAGTCATTTCACGGTGTTTACACTGCTAGATTAGCATTTCTTTTGACTTCTCATCAATTAAAAAGGCAAAACAAAAACAAAATGAAGGTAAACAAACACTACATTCCTTATACTTTTTAACAGGTTTTGCATAAAAAAAGGAAATAAACATTTGGATAATGGACGAATTTGGGCTCAATGTAAATGTAATAATAACACTGGATTACAACAAAAATGTTCAATGGATGCCACTACCCAATTCCTATAAAGAATTCCTCGCTGATTCCGAAAATCTAGTTAATTATTATTCAGCTTAAAACAAGAAGTGGTTACAAAAGTGGGAAAGTGGTAATGAGTGGTCGAATGAAAATTCGCAAAGATTTTTTTATGAAATAAGAGCAGAAAAGAGTGTTACTCAGGTGTACGTGGCGTATGAGTAATATTATTTCCTGCTCATATACAGTAAGTACAGAAGAGTCCACAATTTATTGAAGTGAAACTTCTTTAGCGGCGGTTGGTTGGTTGGGAGTAAATTTTCAAACTCGACGGAAATTGCACACGGAAATGGTTGGGGCTGAAACAAGTGCTTCTTGAGTGTATGCACATGATATTAATTTAACAAAAACTTGCTAATAAAAGGGTAAAGAATAACACTTAGAAAAAGACCAATACAACTATGTAAGTAAAGATGAGTACATACATAGATAAAGAAAAAGATAAAGGCAAAGGTAAAAATAAAAACAACAACAAAGATGCGTAAAGATAAAGGCAGAAATGAAAATCAAAGTAAATTTACACAGTTTACTTATAAAGGGCAAAAGTGAAGGGGAGTATGTAGATGAAGGAAATGATAAACATAAAAGTAAAAACAAAGATAAGTATAAAGAAAATGATGACAATGAGCCTGCTGACAAAAGTAAAGATGAAGATAGAGGAAGAAAGATTAAAATAAAGGTAAATATAGAGAAAATGATATAGATGGAGACCCAGAGACTCAATGTGTGAACTATTATGGGATTTTAGAGATTTTCGGGATTCTCGGGACATATCGATATAACAATCGATATTTTTATCGGTTTTGTTATCGAAATTTTTATCGACAGTGATACCGATTTTGCTATCGATATCTTGGGAACTTATCGATATAATGAGCGATATTTTTATGGATTTTGTTATCGATTTAGTTATCCATTTTGTAATCGATAGGTTTACCGATTTTGTTATCGATATTTTTTTATTAGTTTTGTTACCAATATTTTTATAGACTTTTTTATCGATACTGTTACCGATTTTGTTATCGACTATTCATCGATTTTGTTAACGATTATTTTATTATCGATTTTGCTATCGATAATTTATCGATTTTGTTATGGGGTTTGCTATCGCTATTTTTATAGACTTTCTAAACGATTTTTGTGATCGACTTTGATGTCGATTATTTATCGATATTTTATCGACTTTGTTATCGATACTGTTATCGATTTTCTATTGATTATTTACCGATTTTGTTATCGATAATTTATCGGTTTTCGTTATAGGTTTTTATCGATTTTGTTATAGGTTTTGTTATCGATTTTGTTATTGACATTTTTACCGACTTTCTAAACGATTTTTGCGATCGATTTTTCTGTCGATTGTTTATTGATTTTGTCATCTATTTTTTATCGACTTTGTTATCGATATTTTTATCGATGTTTTTGTCGATTTTGTTGCCGATGTTTTTATCGATTTTCTAATCGATTTTTCTGTCGAAATTTTTATCGAATTTGACATCGGTTTTACTATCAATATTTTATCAGTTTTGTTAAAGATATTTTGTTGGGTGTTACTATCGATTTTGTTAACGATAGATTATAAAGAAAAAAATGAAGATAAAGGAAAACAGAATAACATAAATGCAATTAAAACAGGGGTAGAGGTATTAAAAAATATATAGAAAAAATACAAAAATATAACCTTAAGCAAAAGCAGATGTACATATATATGTATGTATATTGGTTATGAAACAAAATAGATATGTAACGTAAGTTTCACTTCTCCAGTGTGGCCCAGGCGCACTTAAATTTTTTTTTAACTTACTTCAGAAATAGAGGAAAGTTATAAAGCAAACCTGAACGAAACAAACCAACTCATCTTAAGACCATAAAATCTCCCGTTGTTTACGAAAAATACCCCTCTAACGGTGCTTTTGGTTTCAAATTCGGCCTAGTAGAAGCTCAACACGAATGCGGACAAAATGAATGTTAGCGTGACAATATATGATTAGAATTTACAACCTGAATTCAGTTGTGTTTTCAGATTTCGTTTTAAATTAGTTTGCAGCAGGTTTTCATAAATTTCGTGAGTAAGAGTAAGATGTACATAGGATGATAATAATCAAGTAAGCACAATTACTCACCGGTTGGTCATTGATGAGCCATTGCAGCCGTGATGCCGGATGTGATTTCCCCGAAGTACAATTTAAGCTCAAAGTATCACCAATTTGATACTGAGTTTGTTGACCGCGAATGAAGGGACCATCGCGTGGCAAAACTAAAGGAAAAACGAAAGATTTTTAAAAAATTAATAACATCGTAGAGCATGTCTAATATGTAGGTATAAGCTACCATAATCAAAACATACATATTGTCACTAGACGCGAGCTCAAAGTTGGCCGCAAAAAAAGCGTTACCATTTTTGACGGAAAAAAAGATGCATAAACTTATTTTCGCGATCAACTATGTTTGCGGGGGTAACAGTTTACAAAGGCCCCAAAAAGTGTTTGCGAAATTATGCTGAAATGACAGTCCTTGCCCAGGTATGAATCCATGCTTTTACGTCAAGTAAGTTTATGCGTCTTTTTTTCAGGGCTCGAATCGTCACATACAATTCGTACTACTTGTTACGTAAAAATACATTTTTCGGATTATGACATACGTGATCGTACCCTTCAGCTTAAACTGACTGACGTATCACGTAATTTTCTTTCGTATCGTTTTCGATCCGTGAACGGATGTTACGATTCAAACCCAGTTTCAGAAGAACTGAGCAGCCTGAAACTACACTCTGTTGTATTAAAATTTATTCTAGTATCTAAACATTAAATGGCGTTCGTCGGTAATCGCATCATGGCTGGACCGATTTGGCAATTTTTTTGCAAATTTGGAGCGGTGGTCGATGTATTTCTAAAACTCGTATTAAAGGGTCGATTTGGTTCATATTCAGTACGTGGGTTGACTATGAAAGAAAACAATTTGCAAAAAATAGACCCGGTAGGTGGCGCTGTAGTCGAGACATTCCTAAAAGTCGTATTTATGGACCGATTTGAGTAATTTTCAGTACGTAAAATGGTTTTGCAAAAAGAAACGTTTCTGCCAAAAAAAGACCCGCTATGTGGTGCCGGAGTCAAGATATTTCCAAAATCACATTTGTTGGCCTACTGGGTTCGTAAAGGAATCTATTTAATTATACCTTTCATGAGCATGAAATGATATTATAACTTTGGTCCGATGTTTGTAAGTACCAGAATAAGAAGAGATAGACCCATTAAAATGTATACTTAAATGATCAGAACGTCGAGCTGAGTCGATTTAGCCATGTCCATCTGTCCGTTTGTCCGTCCGTTTGTTTGTATGCAATTTAGTCTCTCAATTTTCGAGATATCCGGATGAAATTTGGTAGGTGAGTGTATTTTTATAATGTATTTATCATTTGTCGTAACCGGAAGAATCGGACCACTATAACATATAGCTCCCATACAACTGATTGTTTAGATATGAGATTTTTCGTTATAACTCCTTCATTTAAGTAGCTAGGAATATAAAATTTTGCACTGTTGTCTCTGTATCATATAGCCTCCATACAACTGTATTTAGGCTATGTGCGAGTACGTCTTAATTCCTAAGTAAATGGAGAAAAATCATTAATCACTTTAAAATGTTGGTAATGAGGTGAATAGGAATAGTTTAGATTTTTTAAGCATGCAATGATTTTTTCTGGAAGTTTTAATTAATATTATCATTGCTATGGCACAAAAAAGAAATCAATTAGAAAAGTGTCAGTATAAATATATTTGATTTTGGAGCAAGTAAATAATAGGACCCGTTGAGCTAGAAAAAAAGAAAAAGTGGGCGTGGCTCGCCCTTTATTCTTGATTTCTAAGGTGCACATTTTTTGTGCAAATTGAAAAGGACGGTAATAGGGGGTGGTAAAGTGGAATTTTCAATATTTTCTAAAATTATTGAGCCGATTTTCAAAATGTGGATTTTTCAAATAAAATGAATGTTTTTCCACAAAAAAAAAAGTAAATAATTATATTAAAATATATGTTTATCAGAATAAAACAATATTTAAAAAAATTGTGCAAATTTGGAAAAAATTTAAGTTTTAATATAGTTAATTACGTATTTTTTAAGGGAAACATAGAAACACGTTTTTTAGTTTTTCTCGAAATATGTATATAATTTTATACCATTATAATCAATGGATGAAGGCGGATCATGTCCACTTTTTCTTTTTCTCCAGCTGAACCCCCCCGAGCGCACTTGTGCACAAGGGTATATTAATTTTGTTCACATAACGGTTGTTTGTAACAGCCAAAACGAATCGAGATAGATATAGACAAATGTATACATAAATGATCAGGATGAAAAAAGAAATCGATTAAGCCATGTCTGTCTGTCTGTCCGTCTGTCCGTCTGTCCGTCTGTCCGTGTACACGATAACTCGAGCAAAAATTGAGATATCTCAACGAAATTTGGTATGTAGGTTTCCCTTAATCCAAGGTAGGTTGGTATTGAAAATGGGCGAAATCGGACTTTAACCACGCCCACTTCCCATATAACGGTAATTTCCAGAAATACGAAAACTGCGATATTTTAGTAACTACTGAAGATAATTCACTCAAAATTGATATTTACAATAATTTTCAGACGAAAAATAAGAATATTATAAATTTTTGGAAAATGGGCGTAGCCACGCCCACTTATGGTTACATGTGTATATCTTGGTAACCGCTGCACCAATTTCTTCCAAACTTGGCACAGTTGTTGGCCTTGGTACAGCATAAAAAACCGCCGAAACTTTTTAAAATCGGACAATAACCACGCCCACATCCCATATAACGGTAATTTAGAGAAATACAAAATCTTCGATAAATCATTAAATATTGAAGCTAATTTATTCAAAATTGATGCTTGCAACAATTCTTTACCAAGAAATACGTTTATGGTGAAATTTTGTAAAATGGGCGTGGCACCGCCCACTTATGATCACATATAAGTNTTTATGGTGAAATTTTGGAAAATGGGCGTGGCAGCGCCCACTTATGATCACATATAAGTATATCGGTAACCGTTCTACCAATTTGTACCAAACTCGGTATGGTTATTGTACTTGCCACGTGTAAGCAAAACGTTGAAAATTATTGAAATCGGACTAAAATAACGGCCGATTCTCATATAACGGTAAATTTAAGAAATGCTTGAAACTTCAATATTTCGAAATTGAAGGACGCTAATTTACTCAAAATTGATACACCTCGGCTTACCATCTAGCGGAAGGTTTCGGAAGGGTGAAAAAACATATATTTAATACTTGCGCCGGGTATTTAATGTTCGGCTCCGCCCGAACTTAGACTTTCTTACTTGTTAGTATTAACTTATTCCCAAGCAATTTAGGTTGTCAAACGAACTGACACAGTTTAAGCAGTCGGTGGAATATTACTTTAGGTACTGAAATTTAGGTCAACTCGCTTACAGCCTTAGTATCCAAAGTGGTACTTTGAATACATACATATGCACAAAATAATCTAAGTGTGTCCATCATTGGTTTAAACACGCAACAGTATTTAAAAACTGTTATTTTAAATTGGTATGATTTTAATTTATTTATAGTATTTATCTACATTTTAATATTACTAAATTATCTATACTCATCCCATAATGAGTCAGTTAGGGCATGATTAAATGCACAGTTTTTCAAGCGGAAAATTTCGGCCATGATTTTTAATGACATGTAAATTCAGTATTTATTGAAAGCAGGTTTCACCAACAACTTATATTAGCGGAATGTCAATGAAAAAAAAGTTAACCTTATTCTATTTTTTGTTAAAAGTTTTAGTTTTTTACAAAATTTTCGTAACTCGCATGGTGGTAAGTGCAAAATTAATGCTTATTCTTAAAATTTAAACAGTGCCAATGGCGCGTTATCTAACTTTATAAATAAATTGTATATTATAAATTAAAATGAATAAATTACAAAAACCAGGTGTATGTAAAATTTTTATTATTATATAGAGGTCGAACAATTTATAGTTGAAACTTTGTGCAATATTTAAAAATTCAACAAACTTTTTAAAAAATTTCGAGCATTTCTAATTGGATTTCCTATGGATATTCTGAGTATGCAGTTTTGTGGCACTCTGAATTCTAGTACAGTAAAGCGCAAGTTTCCAACAGCTAAAAAATACCCTTGATTTTTTAACATTTTTTTTATGAGTCATATTACAGTCTGAAATATGATGCTTTTTGAGTATTTAAAACAAATATTCTTTATAGTTCTGATTACTAATAAAATTTTAGTTGTATTTGAACTTTGTTATTTNCTGAAACTTTGTGCAATATTTAAAAATTCAACAAACTTTTTAAAAAATTTCGAGCATTTCTAATTGGATTTCCTATGGATATTCTGAGTATGCAATTTTGTGGCACTCTGAATTCTAGTAGAGTAAAGCGCAAGTTTCCAACAGCTAAAAAATACCCTTGATTTTTTAAAATTTTTTTTATGAGTCATATTACAGTCTGAAATATGATGCTTTTTGAGTATTTAAAACAAATATTCTTTATAGTTCTGATTACTAATAAAATTTTAGTTGTATTTGAACTTTGTTATTTTTGTTCAACTTAGTATTTATGACACCAAAAGCGTTCGAAATGAGTTAGTATGGTTGACTGGTCTCAGAATAATATTTATGAAGAAAGAAACACTTATTTTAGACTCATATAAATTCTGAGCACTTAGAAAATTATTTAAAAGGATGAAAAACAAATAAAAAAATAACGGTACCTTTTAGCCATTTGAAACTATGTATAATATGTTACAACTTATCAAAATGTGGTGCGGCTATAATTTTTTCGACCACTGTAAGTACATACATGCATACATATGTATATATATAAATTATTTATAAATTTATATGTGTCATTATTTCACAGTCTCCTATTTATATGACAAGCATTAAGGCGAAAATATTAGATGGTGAACTTGTGGAGCATTTCGATTTATTTTTGGTGGATCGTAACGGACATAAGGCAGTCAATGGCATCCTTGTCTACAGAATTGAAATTAAATTTGTTGAAATACAAATTAACGTGCAAATTGAACGTCAAAACAATAAGTGGTCACGCATTTTAGATATAAAGATTGATCTTTGCAAATTTCTTAATGATCAATTTAACAATAACCGTTGGCACCGATATGTACTTATACTAAATGCCCTAAAAAATTCTCCAGCCTTTCAGCAGAAATGTCCCATACCAGCGGTGAGTATGTGA